AACTAAAATGCAATAAAAATCTCAATTTTATTAAAAAATTCCCAAAACCTGATTTTTCTAGCAATCAACCCATATGATATTTTATAAGTTCATTAGCTTTAACAAGAACTATATCTATTTAATGCATTTTTACTATTCACTATTAAGAGGATTTATTTTACAAATTAATTTTTTATTCTTCTTTATTCTTTTTCAATATTATTATTCTAAATCTATTCTCTTAATATTCTCTTCGTTATCTTTCTTTTAATATTTCTTCTTTTTCATTATTCTATTATTTTTTTCATTTCATTTTTTTTATTATAACATTTTTATAAGTTATTTTTATTTTTCTTATACTTTTTTCTTTTTAATCCATTATATTTTATTTCTTCATCTATTTCATTTTCCTTAAAGTTAAGGTTTAGACCTTCTATTTAATTATTTTATTATTATCATTAATTTACATATTTATTCTATGTCATTATTATTATTAATTATATATTATATGTTATTATTATCATACATTATATTTTATGTATTATTAAGATTGCTTGTCTAAACTCATTTTGAATTTAGCAAAATATCTAAACTATAATTTCGCTAATATTTTTACTAAAGTTTTGATATAGTTTTACATTTTTATAAGCTTTGATATAGTCTTACTTTTTCTAGAATTTCGCAGATTTTTTAATAAGGTTTTAATATAATTTTGTTAAATTTTACCTTTTTCTATTTAGATGATTTATAAATCTCTATTTTTCATTCAGCAATCTTATTTTAAAGTTATTTAAAGAAATGTTTAAATTTTAAAGGAAAATATGATGAAGATAAAGAAATTCTTTCACAATGTATACCAGAAGATGAAACCTTTCAATCAAAAAAAATATTATTAAAATTGAAGATAATAACTCAAAAATTGTAAAAACTAATACTTTTGCATCAACTATAACTAAATAAATATTTCTTATTATTATATATTATATCAATTATCAGAATAGAATGAATCTTATTTTAAATTTTACATTACATATAATTATTTCTAATGACTTTTTTTATTTATAGAAATAAGAAAATGTAAGATCTTTTTAAGTTTATTAAAACTTTCTGGATAATGAGTAATAAGTGATAAAATACTTTTAAAATCTATAGATCAATTAATAAAAACTATTTTAGAAATTACAAGTAATAATAATATTAGAGTAATAACAGCTTTTGATAGCTAAACTAATATTAAGCAAAAACATTTTTTGGTATTATTTTTATTACTACTCAGATAAAGTTTTGATTTAGGAAATTTGTGATATTAATAATCAATAGTCAAAACTAAAAATATAAAACTTCTTATTTAAAATATTATAAAAGATACTAAAAAGAAAGAAATTTAAATTAATTATTATGTATCAGATTTTGCAGGAGAATATATAGCTGTAAAGTAAGTATTAAATATTAAATATAATTTAATATATTAAAACTTCATATTAAACAAATTTTAACTTAATATAGACAGCAATTAAGAGTAAAATATTCTAACAAAATTTTTATATTATGCATAGCCTATCAAATAAATTTAATTATTAGAAACATTTTTAAGAAGTTTATATCTTATAATATAATATAAAGAATATAATACGAATTGTTAATTATTTTCATTCTTCATCTTATTTTATAAGATTATTAAGAAATAAACAAATGTTATATTATAATCAAACTATTTTTCTTGCTATTTCTAATACAACTCATTAAAATAGTTTTTATATTTACCTTTAATTCTATATTAAAAACAAAAGCTACACTTAAAGTAAGTATTATTGTTTTTTATTTAAATAAACTTAATAGATATTAATTGATATTTATTTTGCTTTTATTTTATATTTTATTTAGATATTAGTTACAAAGTTTTCTTCTAATATATTTGAAATAGTTATAGTTCAAGAAGTAGATATATAAGATAATGTTTTTATTAAAAATACTAGTACAAATAAGATTCTTCCATCAGATATTATTATAATAGTAAATAATTCCAATTTTTGGTTACAACTTTATAAACTTAAAAATTTTTTTATTACTATTATGTGAAATATTAAACAAATTACAAAAAGATATTACACAATTATATAAAATTGATTCTTGTTTTGGTTAGATTATTAAAATTTTTAAAAATTATAAAAATAAATCCTTTTCTAACCAAATGATAATACATTTAAAAATTCAATAGCACAATGGGAACAACCTCTTCTTTTATTATCATTGTATTACATCCAAATATTGTCTTTCAAAGTTTTCTAATAGTTTAAATCTTTTTATACATATTTTAGATAATGGTTAAACTATTATTATTAAGTATGATTTGAAAAATTACTAACTTCCATTTTACATAAATATTTATCTTATCAAAGAGAAAATTTTCCATTTGATAATAATCATATATTCAATTTAATGAAAATATTATTAATTTTTGAGATTCAGCTAAAGGTTTAGTATCAGAACTCACTCAATTAGCTTTACATTTATTTAGTTTATGTATTAATTAAGCTTCAGTTGAACGCCTTTAGTCAAGTATGGGATTTTTATATACAAAATATCAGAATCGCCTTAAAGTAAGTATATTAATATTATAATTAATGATTATTTGTATTTTTAAGCATAAAAAGATGTTAGCAATGAGTCAATTACAAAGTGATATATTAAAAAAAGGAAAGAGAAGAAATTGAAAAAGTTGAACAACAATATAAAAGAATTCATATTGCTACACCAATAGAACCATATATAATTAGCAGTGATGAAGAAGAACAGGATGATTCTTTTCTAATTAATGTAAGTGATAATGAAGATGAAGAAACAAATACAAATTTTAATAATAATTTTGAAGAAGATAATGAAATTCTAAGTGTATGTAGATCATTGGTCTCGTTTAGTAGAAGATTGGATTAAATGTTAGATACTGAAAATTGTTTAGATAGTGGTGATAATGTTAATGAAGAACCCATTGAATTTGAGTTAGGTGGTCGTGCTATTCATCCAGCAGATGATCTAACGGCAAAGTGGGATTTATGAAATTTGTTTAATGATTCATTAGAAGCACCCATTTATCTTAATTCTTTAACAAATTTGTAATCGATTGATTTTAAACTTTAAATTTTAAATAAAAATATTTCAATAAAATTTTCATTTAATAATTTTATTATATGTATCCAAATGACCAAATGGGTCATTTGACCTTTCGAAATGAGCAATGACCCGTGACCGGTCATTTGGGTCATTTCAGGTCATTTGCCAACAATGATAAACGGTACGGTCTTTAGAATATGGACCGCAAGGACCGGTACCAGAACACTTTTTCTCTCCACGTGACACTATATAATTTGTCACTCATTTTTACTATGTATTCCAGGGACGAAATTTTTTCATTGAGAAAAATTCTAAAAATGAATAAATATTACGTTTGTTTGTACTCATCATATTTGTCACCAAGCTAAAAATCACGTGGGGTGAAAATGTGTTGGCGATACTGGGGTAGTTACATGGAGCTGTGGACTGAATTGAAGACTACGAAGAGTGTTGAACTTTTCTGTTGCTTTTGAGCAAAACGACAAACTTTCTGTTTATTTTATTTTTCATTTTTGAGATGGAAACGGTGCATTAAATACCATTTTTGTTATTTTTTGATTCTACGAATTGGAATTGCACTTGAATGACGACAGCATTTTCTTTATTTTTGTTTAAATAATTATTCATTATAAATTTTTATTCTTATAGGACCCTGGACAATATGCTACATTTCAACATTGGTAAAGGAGATTTTAAAGATCGACTAATATGAAGAATCTCTCAAACATGAGGCGAATCACATTCGTAAGATAGGTCTTTAGAAACGTTTTTTAAAATTCGCGTCTTTTAATATTTAGCTTGAGTACTAATTAGAATACGATTCAAAAGCTGCCAATTCAAATTTCTACTTACAATCACTATAAGGATGTGATCAATTATTTTTAACTTTGTCAAATTTCTTATCTTTAGCATCAAACACTAAAGACAAAGTCAATATTATTTAAATAATAAAATACTTTTGTCAAATTATTTAACCGAAATACTGTAAATTTGAAATTTCATTCGTTTGTTTTTTTTTATTTTAAAAAAAAACATGCCACTTTTACGAGTAATTTTGAACCAAATCTTTTTTTCCTTTATAAATAGTTAATCCACTATTTTAAGTCAAAAATCACTAATTTGATGTATTGATAATTAATTAAATTATAAAATTTGTTACACCCCTAAAATATTTAATGGGGTCGTGTGTGACATTCCTTATAATGGGGTTGAAACAAGAAAATCTTTATTGATGCATCGCTTGAAATTTTATCCTGCCAAAAAAAATGTTCAAAAATTTTAATCATAATTGTTTCATTCCTAAAAAGGATTTCATAAATTGGAGAAAAATGTTTCAAGAAAATCTTGCGTCATGTTCCACAGCGAAAAATTCAGTTTCATAATTAGTTGGATGGCAATCAAAAAAAATTTTTTTTTTTTTCGATTTAGCGGTTATAAGTAAATATTTAAATTTTTGCATGTGATAATATGAGTCGTATGAGTCCTGTTTATTTATTTATTTATTTATTTCATTTTAATTTTAGATTTTCAGGCCCATGAAGCACGTCATAAAGCAAGGGGTGGCGGCCCTTTTTTTTATAAAAAAAAAAATAAAAATTTCTTTATTCTATTTAAATATTCTTGTTTATTATGATAAATCAGCCCATTTCATCGCTCAATTTTATTACATGAGATTTTAATTGAAAAACATTTATCTTAAAGAATCTGTGACGGAATATTTGGTAATTATTAAAAATGTTAAGGATTTCATTTCCCCTGATAAAGAATAAGTTTCAAATCTAAGCCATTTTACCCGTAAAAGAATGAAATAAGATTTTCGGAGTCACTGCATCTATTAATAATTGTAATAATTTATAAAATAAATGATCAACATGGATGAACTTTTGAAGAAAGGATCATGACTGACGATGAAAATAAAAAAAAAAAAAATTATTTTTTGAATTTCTTTTACTTTTGCAATATGTTCAGAATGAAGGAACTCTTTATCAATGGAATTGATCATGTCTTCAGATCGTCTGCACCCCTTCGACGAATTTGCAAATTTGGAGTTCGCCGAAGGCATTATAAAAGAAATATTCTTAAGATTAATTGATAGGTTTTTACGTATAGAGATTCCACGATGTAATATCAACACTTGGTCGTACCAAACCATTTTGGAAGAGAAGCGTATGATTTCATGGTGTAATTTTGATATTTTTGTTCAAGCCAATCATGTAAAGAAAGTTTCAGATATCAATTTGTTATCAATACCGCACGAATATTCGTGCATTTATTAAGAAATTTACGGTGCCTCGCCACTTTTTCTGCCGTTTATGGATAAATGCAAAAATTGTTTCATTTCATCAAACTAACGTAAATAATGGTATCAAGACGCGTTTTTATATTTATTATGAATAAAATGTAAATTTTAAAAATGAAATTTCTATAATTTTTTTTGTGATTGTTATATTAAACATTAAAAAACTACAAACAATTAATAATGTTCTTTATGTATTTAGAAAATAAAAACAATTTTTGATATTAAACCAATCACGTATAAGGAAAGGGGGCCAAAATTTTCTAAATCACATGATTTGATAAAATTCCCATAATCCCTGGAATGATTATATAAAGTGCTTGCGATTAACCGCAGCTCCGTACACCAAACTAAATCAGCCAATGATGTGTTAGTTAACTGTAAAAGTCTTCCTTTTAAATCGTGCGGCAAAAGGGATGATGATGATAAGTGGTCATCGAACCACCTTTTCGAGACTACTTTAAATCTCTGAGGTTGATGTTTTAAAAAGATTTGGTGTTTTTCTAATTTTATAATTTTTTTAGTGATAAACCTTTCTTTATCTTGTTATCTCAAGGTGTGACAAATATATTTATAGGAAACAGACACCCATCAAAAAGACAAAAATCAATTTTGGTGGTAATTGATTGAAAAATCCAACTATTGTTCCTATAAAAGAAAGTTCATTAAATCATAATTATTTTAAAAGTTCAATCTACTTGTTATGTACCAAAATTGTAGAATACTTAGAATATCTTGTTTCATGATTGATTTTTTTTTTTTTTGAATGATAGACGAATAAAAATCGTTAATTTTTTTTTTCCCTGAAAATAATTTGAATTGGATATGAATCGTGTTACCGAATTGATTGCAGAAAAAGGAAATTGAACATGGCTTTAAATCATTTTTGGATTTCTGATTCAATTCTTTTTTTTTTTTTTGAAGATGAACAAAAACGATTTCAAATATCAGGACTAAATGATGAAAAAAATTCCTTATCAAAATATCAAAAATATCATATTGTCGACAAGCTAAGTTAGAATGGGCTTATTCTGTAATTTACAAATGTGTAAAATTAAATTTGGTAGCGTCGTGTAACGTATACATCCATGACAAAGAGATATAAAGGTTTAAAGGTTACACCGGCTAAGGTTAGCCACGCGTAAATTTATTCATTAATGTGACTAATATATATTTTTTTTTTTTGACGTGATTTTTAAGGAAGAAGCTAATTCTCAAATATCTGAGGTGCATGCATTAAAAAGTTCCCATGAAAAAAAAATATATCCTTAAAACATTGTGAAAGATTTCACAAGATCCTGTATTCTATAAGCGTTCATAATTATTTTCCCCAAAAAGGATTTCCTCTTTTTTTTTTGTCTTGATTAAAAAGGGTATTCTTTATTTATGTTTTATGTTTTTATGTTTTATCATTTCATATACCAATCAAATTTCACCAGTTCACAGTTAATTCCTTTTTCAAAAAAAAAAGAAAAAAAAAAAAAAGAGAAAAAGGAAAAGTTCAAAATGAACCAATCACTTTTAAATCATAATCTACTGCTTAAAAATAAATTTAGAAAAGTGTTCATGTGATGCGACTTAGTGTTGGTTTATTTAAATATTTTTTTTTAACTTGTCGGTTATAGTTTCGGCCTATATGTGCTTTAAACGCAACGCATAAAAAGGACGAATAAAACGATCGACGTGATTTTTTTGTTTGTTTGGTAACACGTTATGACGTAACAAAAAAATTAAATCAGATAAATTGCTAAAGTAGTTTCTTTTCCAACTCTTTTTACCCACACTAAAATTTTTTTCTTTTTTTATTCTATTTAACTGGATACGGAAGTAATTTTTTTTGATCTAATGAAATTGTTCACATTTAAAATATGTCCTTTGGCGCATGAAATTGAAAACAAAATTCATGCATGGCAGCACCGACGGTGGGAAGATTTTCGATACAAGTAACTTAAATCACAAGATGCGTTCCGTAATCGGTGTTTAATTGCTTCAAAAACCTGATTTTATATCATTGTTACTTTTATCAAAGAAATAAATGATGATAAATCATTTATTTGGAACAGATATTGGTAAATGAATAAATGCAAAAAGGAAATCATTGTAATTTGTAATGAAATATGTGTCATGTAAATCTTACCATATCCCTAGTATCTGTTGTATAAAAAATACCGGGTCTGTCCTGTCATTGAATTAAAAATAGGAAAATTAATGCCCCATGTGGCATTTGTATACGTTTATGCCTCGTTATCTGTCATTGCCTTTCTTTAATGTCATCTATTTTTTTTTCCTCGTTTGATGGCTTTTTAATGCACAACAAATCTTTTCTCAGCCATTTAATTTCCCTTTTTTTTGTAAAAAAAAAAATGGAAAGGAAAAAAGATATCATCAGGTCGTACAAGTGGAAAAACGTTCATTTCACTTTGGATAAATGTTTGTTTATATAACTTTAAAATTGTTTGTAATAATCGTTAAATTATTTATGATTCCCGCGTTTTTTTTTTAAAAATTGTGATAAAAGGTCAAAAATTTGGATGATTTAATTGTGATAGACATTGATTTAAACCCCATTTCATCCATATCCGTAACAATCAACCCTGTATCATTGCATGGTGCATAATATAAATATCTTTTTTTTTTTTTTATAATAAACTTTATATATTCAATGTTGAAAAAAAAATAAATAAATAAAAAAAATGGAAACAAGTATAAA